AGAAAACTGCTGCAGTAGTGATTTGGATATGTGATTTGAGGTTTTGTGATTCTTGACTCCTTGATAATTTGTTGATTCATCTTGAGAGTCCCAATAATCAAAGGGCATAGTGTTAAAAATTTCATGATAACGTGCTACTGTAGAGAGACGTCGTAGCATAAGACTGTAGGGCAGGGTGTACACTATATCATTACTATCAGCGGAAACTTCATGAGTTCTTCGTACGCCGGAGTATGCGAAATAACGCCTAACTGCACCATGACCACTTGGCAACTAAGAGCAAGAAGGCACTAGGCAATGTGCCGTGAAATCTGGTCATGTAGTAGCTATGCGTTATTTAACAATGGCGTTTTTAATGTCCTCAACAATAAATCAACAAATGCAAATTGTTCGAAGTCTTCATGATGTGCTATGAATAGGCCAGGAAACGAGCAAAGTTATGGTACACATCTAGCTCTTTGGCCCTGAATGTACGAACCGGCAGAGGACAAGAAGGACCTCCTAAACTCAACCAACCGCATACCTCGAATAAGGCAGTTGGACATGGACCGTATCATATTGGTCAGTCAACTGAGGTCCAAGCTGTTTGCATCGTTTGTACACAAACCGTGTTTTGTGCTGTTTTCAATAAACATATTCTACCCCAAATGCCCTAGTTAATTCAACCTTTATGTTTGTTACGCCGAGATAAGCGAATGAATAAATTGAGGAACATGTGTCAATGAGTGAATTATTGAGTGCAGTATGCCCACCTTCTGAAGTCTGTGGTGACACTTTCCAAGTTCATTTGTCATCCTTACTCAGAGGATGTTTCTCTTATGTGGATTTGTTTTAAAATCACAGATTATTCAACGACCTTTGCTGTGGTCCAGTACTCAACAACTCGAGCCCTTGTGCATCATTTTGCTTTAAACTTAGTGGCATAACGACTTTCTTCCAGGTGACAAGAAATTTGCAACTTCTGACATCACTTTCCTCAGAATTTTGTTCCTACGATCGAAGAAGAAGGAAGATTTATTTTTCAATCTTTCAAATGCAGGAACGTGTTATTTTTAAATCATTGTAATAATTTTTGTTGATTGATTGCATGTGGTGCTCAGATGTATCTCACATCTCAGATGCTCAGCATCTCAAAAAATAATTATGACTCATCTGTGGCTGGTCGAATGACAGCATAGTTGAAATCTGATCAATAGCAAACAGACTATCATCGCCAGATTTTTCTTCTGCTCTTCTTCTGCCTCCCATAGCGATAACTAATTGCAAACTCTAGTACTGCACAATTTCCTGACTGCAAACTCATACTGCAGAAAAACCATGTATTGGACGTCGCTTGCACTCTTCGTGTTCAATACTACAGTGCAATCATTGTAGGTAAGCATAGCTTGCATGCATTAAACTCCTTGTCGTTGAACAAGCTGTGCAACCGTCATCCCTCCCACTTGCAGCAGATTTTAAGAAAAACTATCACTGAAACAGCTGGCCAAAGCTCAGCCTTGTAAACTGAAGATTTTGCTTTTCGGCCTTTGATGAAAAAGCTTACACAGACTCCCCGTCCTGAAACTCATTCTTGATCTAAAAGAGAAAATAAGCCGTATCCTCAGTTCTTTCTTGGTCTATGCGAAGGAGGAATTTCTACCAATTCTAAATTAACACAAATTGACTAAGTTCTAACCCTGTGAGTTTTCCCGTTGACAAATATTGATCTCAGTATTTCGCAAACACACAAAGTCATTATCAGCGTTATGTAATATTTCATTAAAATCATGAAAATATGGACTCGCAGGTCTTTCCAGATAGTGAGCTGTTGCTACGCACATTAATTCGGTTCTGATTCTACAATTATGAAAGAATAGTGGCAAGCTAAACACGAGAAGATCGCCGATGAAACTGTCTGCTTCATGTCCTCACCGCTAACTTTCGATGTTATGCTGCGCCTACTGTGGTTCTTGGAACATTTTTGTACTCAAGCATCAAAAGCAATGGCTATCTAATCTACGTTCATCCAACAGCCGGTTAAACCGAAGCTTATCGAGAGTCACCAGTCGACATTTGGACAGGATAATTGACTGCTGGGCTAAATGATCACGCTGCTGGAGAATCAATTGCACCGCAACTGATTCCATGTACTATCAGAATAATTTGTTTGTGTTTAGTGTATATATCGTCATGTTGTTGTTTGTCATTTTGCATGTTGAAAATTTGTACTTATTCCGTTGAAAAACATGCCTTGACAGAAGTCATGCTTATGAAAATCTGAATCACTGAAAGTTTATATTAATGGATGAATATCGACAAAAAGCGATTGCCTGCTGATCATTCATTTCGTACACAAGGCCAGTTTTTCTTTCAGAATCGAATAGAATAATCCGCTCCTTGATCACTTAATTTTGCTGCCTCTGCCGCTGCAGTAAACGGAAATCCAACAGGATGCTAACGAATGGCAGCAGAAAATCAAAAGACATGTGTATGTTTCGGGCACCACTCTAATCAAGCAAGGCAATTACGAAACTATCTCCGTTTCATCATTTGTTCATCTATTTATTTATTATCAACATTTTGTAATATTACATTCATTCATTGATTTTTTTCAATAAACGCCATTTATTTAACGTTGCGGGCTTCACTATTTTCAGGCATTTCCAGCAGGCTCCATTTCCGGTTCTCCACTTTAATGAGTAGGCACAATGGCTTGCCTTCGAAAGCTCGACGATGCCAAGTATTATGTATAATTGCATTGTCTGATTAGCCGCAAAATCGTCGAGAACACTTCACCGTGCAATGAATCGTAAAAGACTAATGGTGAACCTCAGCCTCCATTTGGGTCACCTTCCCAATGATTTTGACAAAAGAGTGTGTTTCGTTAGTGTCTGCTCTGCTCTGCTCTGACATCATGATCACACGTTCAGTCTAACTGAAAAAGGACGGCTTGCATGACTGTGTCGAACTGTTGCTTTCAAAATCTCGTCGACCCCTGAATTCATTGATTATTGTTGCCGAACGAAATTTCAACCGTATCACGCGATTATGGAACAAAAATGGGGAGTATTTGTGCACAGTAATTCGAACATTATCGATTATTAGTTTCGTCACCTTTAAAGCTTATCTCCTTCTACAATTAAAATAATAAACATCCGCAAAAGTTTATGCCGGAGCAAAATAGGGTATGTTTTACTCAGCCATGCTGAAAAAGTCGTGTAGCTAACTGATAGCGGTTCAGCCATACGTTGTAATGTAAAACTGTGGAAAACAAACTGTCTTGCTTCGGTTTTATATTATTCTGACCGGTTGAGTCAGTTTCTACAAGGCCTTATGACAATCGAGCAGAATTCATATTAAACCTAAAATATCATAGTACTGTTAAGATGGAAGAGTGCTAAGGCTTACCTACGGGATACAGCAGTCACTGACCAGTGCCGAACATGGAGTAAGATGACGGAGCATCTGGAATCGTTCGTATATAGACCTATCTCCTACCTTCAGGCGGAATTCTATTCTTTCACTGATCTCCGATTCTATGCTATTGATCAGGAATGATTTGTCTTTGCAATAGCACATGTACTTTTCATCAGTACAGCTCATCCCCTTCTTGCTAAATGCCTGTGAGGAACCACTTAGATGTCCCTCCTCTCATTTTATTGCCTGAGGCAATATATCAACAAGTTTGTTTTTCACATCCGGGTTAACATGGTGTTCAGGCACCGTCACGGTGTCTCTACGCCATGTAAATTCCGTGGTAAAAGAAAAATGTTCTTTCGCCTATCGGCGGTGTGGCAAACAAGCAGTACACCAGTAAACCGATGCGATTGGTGTTTGTTTTTATACATAAATATGCATATGGATAATCGCATATCAGCAGGTGACCGGACAAGATTTTGTTCGGCCCTGTCCAGTGATGCGGTTTTGCACCCATGCACTACAAATGTTCAAATACCATGGAGCTGTGGC